TCCAGCGCCTCCGTGAATGTAAGCATCTCCTCTAAGTTGGCCTCTGGACGCTCGCGCTTCACTTGCTTGCAAGCCACAACCGTCGGCTTCGCAACTCCACGATTTTCATCGGCAAACTCCCGGCATCGCTTGCGGACCAAAGTCCCGGACTTTAGAACAGCTCCAATCGCCGAATGGACGTACTTGCTATCGTGAACACGGCCAATTATCCCCGGTTTGAGCTCGCCCAAGACTCCAGACGGGGGAACGGGCTCCTGCGGCTTCTCATCCTCCGGAAGAACACTGGGCCTGACGATAACGGTCGGCTGCTTGGGCCTCCTCGTCCTCCTCTGCCACTGCGATTGCGCATCTAGGCACGAACCAACTGTGCCGATCTCGATTTTTGTAGGGAAAGTTCCCAGCTTGGCATCAGAATCGGCGCCCCAGCCCTGGCAGGCCGAGAGATTGTGGACGAACCTGGGCTTGATGTCGACGACGCCGGGTCCATTCAGAATCTTGAGCGGCGCCCTTGCCGGCGCATTGGCCTTGCTCTCCAGAGCTCCCGACGCCAGTAGATCCTTGAGAACGCCCATCTGAGATCTAGGAACCGCGAAATCTTACATGAATCGCGCGCGCGGTCGCGAAACCCTGCCCGGGGAGGAACCCTAGCTGGTCGCGCTCGCGCCGTCGATCTGTATAAAGAGGAGAGCTGCCAGCGAGCGCGAAATTCAAACACTCTCGTTAGAGCTTTGACGGAATCTTTTCCCCAACGGAATATGCGAAGCTACCAGAATATGACGCCCAGTATGTTTTCAATGGCTGGATATGGCGAACAGAGTTACAAGCGCGTCGTCGAGGGCTAGGGTTTTGGATGCGCGGGACCTCCGGAGCGTGCTTCTGGCGCCAGATTCAGGGGCGCTGCGTCGTGCTCGTCGCTGGCGACGAATGTAAGTAGCTGAATCCTCGTCGGCAGCGCAGGGAAGCTAGATCTGGCTCTCCAATTTGTGTCTCCGGGTTCTTCTCGCGGAATCTAGGACAGGGCCAGCTGCGAGCTCGCCGCGCGCCGAAAATGCGCTTGGGGCACAGGTGATTTGGAAGGAAAGAAGTGTCGAGCTCCTGCAATGTCGGACTTCAATGTGATCCTCCTGATCATAGTCATCGTCGTGACGGTTCTAGTTTTCCTCTTCAACACCTATCTTCTAGTGAATTACCAGCACCCGGATGATCACAACCAGGCGTACTTCCCAAAGGCGGTAGTGGTTTTCGGTTTGTCCGTAGCACAGCTCTCGATTTTGATGCTTCCGGCGGACGTCGCAAACCGGCATGCTTGTCAGCGTGCCTTGTACAATGGGGCCTGTGATCTTACGCTTCCCATGAAGGACCTCTGGTATGCCGTCTACATCATCGACGCTGTGCTCGTCTTCTTGGTAATTCCTTTTACAATGTTCTACTACGAAGGTGACCAAGAGAAGTAAGTCATTACTAGTTTCTTTCCATTCGATTGGCTTGAGTCCTCATTGTTTGTGTTTATTTTTCCTTTCATAGGAGTGTAGCACGAAGAGCAGTAGGCGCACTTATGTGGGTGATCGTGATCGCCATTGTCGTCGGGCTTGTTCTTGGGATCTTATATGGTACTGAGATCTTTGTTTGTTTCCGGGTGATCTTATCTTACATTGACACAGGACTCATTGGAAAGGTTGATTTCACTGTGCGACATTTGTCCTCCACTACCATCGGTTTCACTACCGATTATTCTCAATTGACTTCTCGGAGTCCTTGCCTTGTTCCCACTAATTCTCCCAACGCTGTCAGGAGCATTCAGGTGACGGAATTTAGGATCTCTTTCGAAGATTATACTGTTTGCTGACACGTTCTTGTCTAGTGTTCGGCGTATAATGCCGGCTATGGAGCGGAAGCTACCTGGTCAATGCGAACGACTTTCCCACAGTACCTGATTGCTTTGACAACAATAGTTGGATCGGTTTTGTTTACCGTAAGCGCCGCGACTTGAGCGATTATCCATTGCATAGTACTTTTACTTTTCAGATTTTTGGAGGTGTTGGAATCGCCTGTTTGCCACTGAGCTTGATATTCGCTTTTTTCAAGCGTCCAACGGCAGTAATCACAAGGTCGCAATATATAAAGGTCTGTTCTGAGTGACTTTTCTTCGGCTTTTCACTACCATGTTACGTTTCAGGAGGCAACTATTCTAGGAAAGCGTGCAAGGGAGCTCAAAGAAACGACACTGGCCCTTCAACGCGAAGAAAGAAGCTCGGGAAAGGGGAGAAAGTGGAGAAAGGAAATGAAGAAAGTCCAGCAAGTATGGTTAAATCTGCAACGTTTCTGCTAAAGTGACTTTCTCTCTTGCTAAACAGGAATTGCTGTACCTGGAAGAGGACGTGCAACGCCTTGAAGAAGCTTATCCGCAGGGGGAAAAGGTGCGCTTGCTTTTCTAGCTTCTTTTCTTTCTTTCTTGGCTTACAGAGTGGTTCAGGCTGATACGACTTGGGCGTTAACAGTGCTGGGCTATCTTTCCAAACTTCTACTTGGCCTTGTTGGGTATGCTTAGCCGAATGAGCTTTCTGTAAGTTCTAATGTGGTATGGTGCAGCCTTGTCGTTTCAGGAGCATGGGTGGCACATATAATTGTCTACATGCTCATCAAACCGCCTTTCTCTTCATTCTTAAATCAAGTTTTCATCAAGCTTGATGACGTTTGGGGTATACTTTTCTTCTTCTAGTTAAACTAATCAATCACGTACAATCTTGCAGGACTACTTGGCACAGTGGCGTTTGCGTTTTTCTGCCTTTATTTGATTCTGGCAGTCATATCTGGTGAAATGCACCTTGGCCTAAACTTTGGTTTGATAGCAATTCACCCGATGAAGTAACTAGTAACTCATGCTAGATGGTTCTTGCGTTTCTAAGTTGTTCACTTTCTCTTGTCAAGGTATGGCGGGACGCTGATGAACTCGTTCCTTTTCAACGTGGGCCTTATTCTTCTCTGCTCTGTCAGGTATGCACTATCAAGATTCTTAGCTTTCAAAACTCCAACTTGGATACAAACTCTCCAGTGTGATCCAGTTCTGCTCTAAAGCATTTGCATTGTATGCGCGTGCAACCACAGCTCAAGAAATATTTGGTCTTACACTTGAATCCCTTCGTGGAATCAAGTACTTGTTTAGGTACGGTTTGGCTGTTTTCTCTTGTTTCGGTGATGCTAAACTCTTGTGTAATCGCAGGTACAACGTCTTTCAAATTGCTTTCTGTGTATTATCGGTGGTGACTTTGGTTTATTACCTGGCATTTGTAAGTCCAAGCCGCAAGGAATGAGGCTTTTGTGTGCTCACTCTTGTGGTTTCTCCTGCAGGGATGGAGAAGGAAGAAGAGAACAGCCGCTGGAGTATAACTCTTCTTCACAAGTTCCATCAGGCTTGGTTGCATTCTTTTGATTCTCCTTCCATATTTTTTCCTAGGTAGCTTGTGGAACGGCCTCGTATATGTGTGGATGATGGTAGTGAAAGTAATGAAGCATTTAGTAATTATACCGTAATAAAATGTTAAAGAAAATGTTTGGAAGAAATGGTTGACTATTCATTGTCACTAATCTCTTGCCACGTAAACTTTGGAGAATTTCGAGTATCAACATCTGAGCTCGAAGCTGTTTCCGTTTTCCAGCTCAGGCACACCAAAAAGGTGACGCCACTGCTGACACCACTTGGATTTGCAAATGCAACTGAGCTGGGCGGTGATTGAAATTTGCGGCCTTGTAACAACGACCGCAGTTATTTTCTTTATCACCTTCTTTTCCACTGCCAAGTCTTCCAGTACCAGCTTCTGTTGTAAAAAGTAGCATATACAGGCTTACACATGCCCAGGCTCTCTTTGCGAGCGATGGAAACCTCCCCGCAGGGTTTCCAGTTTTCTTCTGTAGGCTGCAAGAATTGGGAGACTTTAAGAGCCAGGACTAAACGAATTATCCTTTGTGCCAATGGCAGCATCCCATTTGCAGGATCCAAGAGGTAATGTCTCTTACAGTCCTTGGAAACTCTTGGAGTTCCTGAAAAGCTCCCATGGATCTGCTGGGTACTCCAAGGCCCCGAGTATAATATATAGTAGGTACATTTGTTTGTATGTTTCAAGTAGCTAGTATAGTATAGTATAGTATACTATACTATACTTATGCTTCGAGAAGAAAAAATGGAGGGATCTTTGCAAATTATGTCCATCCCCAGTGTGTGTGTAACGTAGGGATAAGTTCTTCGTGCGTGCATGCGTGAGCAAAGAACTTTTGCGGTACCACGATTCCCGGGGGTCCTGAAATCGTCATCTTTCCTGCGAAGATAAAATAGAAAGGGAGTTAAAAAAAAGGAGAGGAGGAAAAGAATGGCGTCCCTATCTACCTTTAGAAACACAATACGAATTTGGAGGTAACATGGCGGGCTCCCAGAAACTGAAAACTGGAATACCCCAAAGTATATAAAAAAATCAAAGAATTTGATCCAATGTCGACATCAAGAAGAGCTACAAAACAGTGAAAATTGGATTCATCCGCAGCAGAGAGATCAATCCAAATGAATCGAAATCATCGCCAGCTTTCATATGCTATCAAAAGGTATTCCAGGGGAGAAGTTGAAGGTTGAAATGTTAAATTTGCTTCGATCAACACAAGAGTTCGGATGGGAATTGTGGCTGGTCTCGATCATATGCGCTGATTCCACAGAAGCTTCGGACCAAAAAGCTTACGCGCAAAGTTCTCGTGGTGCCCTCTTTTTCCTCCTCAAAAACATCCATTTCATGCACCGCAAAAGTTGACGCTCGAAAGGAATGGAATCATGGCCTTTCTATATAATACATACAGAAAACCAAATATTCTAATGGAGCAAGAGATCAATCGAGCGAAAAGATACTGTCAAAGCGATTGTATTGCCAAACCCTAAATCTGCCCTAAATTTTGTACCGGCTAACTTTACTTTTGGGTGAGTCCTCAACTTTGACTAGAAAATGCCCAGTGGGGGCATTTTGGGCGGGGCCCTTAAGCATTGGCAAATACCCCAGCCGTATAATTATCTTTAGTTTTTTTCGTCCGTTAGTCGGCCGCCATAGCCAAAGCTTGTCGACCTCCACCAAGAACACACTACGCGCTCTCTCTCTCTCTCTCTCCCTCATCTCTTCTTGTCCAATTCGATGTCGCGGCGCATCGCCAGCACCGGCGCGGCCGCCAGATGCCAAATGCGGGTGTCGGATTCGCGCGGCCGATCTGTTCTTGGGGGATTCTGCTGTTAGGTCGGGGTAGATCCAGGGCAATTTGGTGCCCGGAATTGCTGAGGAGCAATCGGAGCTGCGGTTGAATCGAATCGGTCTGGAATGGGGGACGGGGAGAAGAAGGAGGAGAAGGAGGATGCGAAGCCGCTGGAGCCCGTGGTGAGTGAGTGTTTATGTTTCTGTGAGGGGTTTTGGCTGGATTTGGAATCCAATTCATCTCGTGCTCGCAGACTGTGGTGCTCAAGGTGAAAATTCACTGCCTGGGATGCGAGAAGAAGGTGAAGAAATCGCTCAACAAGGTGAAAGGTATGGAAATTTATCGCGAATTTCGCGTGTTTCTCGATCTGATGGTGTGTTCTCAGGGCTTATGTCGCTGGACGTGAATCGCAACGAAGGAAAGGTGACGGTTAAAGGGTTTGTGGATCCCAAGGAGGTGCTCAAGAGGGCCAAGAAGACGGGAAAGCAGGCGGATTTCTGGCCATCTCCTCCTCCGCCACCCAAAGAGGAGAAGAAATCATCCGACGAGGAGAAATCCGAGAAGAAGGAAGAGAAGAAGGAGAAGGAGGAGAAGAAGGAGGAGAAGGGAGAGAAAAAGGAAGAGAAGAAAGAGGAGAAGAAAGAAGAGAAGGAAGAGAAGAAGGAGAAGGAGGAGAAGAAAGAGGAGAAGAAGGAAGAGAAGAAGGAGAAGGAGGAGAAGAAGGAGGACAAGGGCGAGGAGAAGAAGGACAAGGAGGTGAAGTTCAAGGAGGAAGAGAAGGGAGAGAAGAAGGAGGAGAAGAAGAAGGACAAGGAGGTGAAGTTCAAGGAGGAAGAGAAGAAGGAGGAGAAGAAGGACAAGGAAGAGAAGAAGGAGGAGAAGAAGGACAAGGAAGAGAAGAAGGAAGAGAAGAAGGACAAGGAAGAGAAGAAGGAAGAGACGAAGGAAGAGAAGAAGAAGGAGGAGAAGAAGGAAGAGACGAAGGAGGAGAAGAAGGAAGGGAAGAAGGAAGAGAAGAAGGAAGAGACGAAGGAAGAGAAGAAGAAAGAAGAGAAGAAAGAAGAGAAGGCCGAAGAGAAGAAGGAGGAGAAGAAGAAAGAAGAGAAGAAAGAGGAGAAGAAAGAAGAGAAGGCCGAAGAGAAGGAGGAGAAGAAGAAAGAAGAGAAGAAAGAGGAGAAGGCCGAAGAGAAGGAGGAGAAGAAGGAGGAGAAGAAGAAGGAAGAGAAGAAGGAAGAGAAGGAGGAGAAGAAGGAGAAGAAGGAAGAGGAGGAGGAGAGATACGAGGAAAGATATGAGGAGAGGGAGAGGGATTACTACAGACCGGAGCCGGAGCCATGGACGCTGTCCAACCAGCCTCCAATGCAGTTCGAGACGGTGAGGATCATAGCGCCGCAGTACTTTAGCGACGAGAACCCAAACGCGTGCTCGCTTATGTGATCGATGATCAAAGCAATGGTTCGTCCCTCTCCTCGATCTCGTGCGATCGAGATCTCTGGTCGATCGATCGATCTGGAGCCATAGTTTTTCGATCTCTCTTGGGTTCTATCAGATCAGGGAGACAGGGGCGAGGATTCCTCGCACAGGAAACTAGGCAGGGAGAATGTGTATAGAGCCAGCAGAGATGTTTTTCCGGGTTTATTGTAAATAAAAGTCCTCCTAAAACGACGCTTAGCACTCGTCCTTTTCTGTGGAATCTTCCATGTTTGATTGGTCACGCGTATAGTTAAAGTATGATGAGTTTTTCCCTTGGAATCTACTGTTGTTAAGCTTGGCTGGAGATTTTGGGAGGATCACACTCGACTGTTTTTTAAGAGCATGATGAATGGAATAATACATGTTGTTAGGAGTCTTAGGCCTGAGACCACAATGCAATGTATGCAAATTAGAAATACTTTATCACTCTTGGCCTTTACTGAAAACGATGTGAGATTTGGATGCGTTTTGATCGGCACGCCACAGCTGAGCTCCTCCGAAAATGCCGAGATCCCGTCCAAGCCCAGGCTCTCCACGCCCAGATCGCCAGCTCCAGCCATGGAGCCGAGGCGTTCTTCAACAATCTTGTCATTCACATGTATGCCCGGTGTGGCAAACTCGGCGAGGCTCGCTGTGTCTTCGACTCGATGGTCAAGAGAAACATCTTCTCCTGGAACATCATCGTCTCAGCGCACACGCAGACAACTGGGTTTCTCTCCACAGCTGCAATCTTTTACGATCGGATGCCTCGTTGGGATCCGGTGGCCGCGACCGCGATGATCGCCGCATTTGCCAGTGCAGGGCAATTGCGTTCTGCAAGAGAGATCTTCGACTGGCTGCCCAGTCGAAGCACTATATCCGAGACTGCGATCATGGGCGCATACGCTAAAGCCGGTTTCGTTCAGGAGGCGAAGAAAGTATTCGACACCATCTCTCGCAAAGACGAAGTCTGCTGGAACGCCATTGCAACAGCATATGCCTCAAACCGGCATTTACACAGAGCTCGTGGTATCTTCGAAAAGATTCCCCAAAGAAGCAGCGTTTGCTGGAACGCGCTCTTCTCAGCGCTGGCGCAAAACGGGCATCTTGCGGAATCAAGACAAGTTTTTGATGAGATGCCCGAGCACGACGAATATTCGTGGACCGGCCTCGTCACAGCATATGCCCGTAACGGGCATCTCGGAGATGCGCAGAGAATCTTCCGCGGCATGCCGCGGTGGTGCCCGGTTACGTGGAACGCGATGATGTCCGCGTGTGCCCGGAATGGGAATCTCCACGAGGCCGTCCGGATGTTCGCGCGACTCGAACACCCGACCCCCGAGGCCTGGGGAACGCTCATCGCGGGCTACACGTCCAACGGGCGCCTCGCCGAGGCCCGGGAGCTCTTCGATCGCAGCCCTAATCCGGGGATCACGTCCTGGAACGCGCTCATTACCGCCTACATCGACAGCGGTGATCTGGCAGAGGCGGAGCGGCTGTTCGATCGAATGCCCAACCGCGCGTCCGCGTCTTGGAACACGCTCATCAATGGGTTCCTCCAATTGGGCGAGATTTCCCGCGCTAGGCGGCTCTTCGATCGGATGCTCGAGCCGGACACCGCGACCTACGTATGCGTGCTCGCGGCATATGCCCAGAGAGGGCATCTGGAAGATGCGCAGAGTATATTCGACAGGATGCCCGAGAAGAACCTCCTGGCCTGGACGGCGATGCTAGTCGCGCACGCCCAGCGCGGGAGACTGGAAGATGCGCGGAGGATATTCCACGGTATGGTGGAGCGGGATCTTGTGGCGTGGACTGCCCTGGTTGGGGCCCTTGCCCAACAGGGGCATGTGGAGGAAGCCAAGGAGGTGTTTGATAAGATGCCCCACTTGGACCTCGTCTCGTGGAACGCAATGATCGCGGGGTACGCGCAAAATGGACGCGTGGCAGCCGCGAGGTCGTTGTTTGCAAAAACTCCCCATTTAGGGCTCCCCGTGTGGAACGGGATTATCTCGGCTTGTGCCCAAAACGGGGATGGGCGTGCAGCACTGGGGCTCTTCCGGGCGATGGCGTGGGAGGGATTCGAACCCAATACCGTCACATTCGTGAGCGTCCTCCTTGCGTGTGGTCGTATAGGATCTGTAGAGAATACCGTCGGCTACTTTGTCTCGCTCGTTGGGGATTTTGGCGTGGCGGCGATGCTTGATCACTATATGTGCGTGGTAGATCAATTGGCGCGCACTGGGCAGCTGGATCACGCCCAGGATCTGATCGAGAGCATGCCCTTTGAGCCCGATTCGGTGGCCTGGACGATTCTGCTGGGCGCTTGCAATGTCCAGGCGGATGTGGAGCAGGGATCGCTAGCCGCGCGGCTCGCGTCGTCGCTCGATCCCGAGAACTCAGTGCCGTATTTGCTGCTGTCGAATGCCTGGATCTCTGGGTCTCCAATTTGAGCGTGAAAAGAGCGGGAAGGGGTTAATCCCCTGTTTTTAGGGCTCCTGGTGGCTATGGCGGAGCTCCGGGTGGCTCCAGCGCCAGTGGTTTTCAATTTCTCCGTGGTGCCCAGGTTGCGCGTGGGATTGAGGAGCTGGGGGAGATTCTCGGCCGCCCACATTGTCTGCCTCGCGAAGAAGCGAGTGAGTGACCATGCTCCGGCGCCAAAAGTAGCAGAGCCTGCGCCGGTAAGCGAAGATTTGCTAGAGGAGGACGTCGTTCTAGAGGGCCTGAATGAGGCAAGTTCTCGTTTCCTCTGCGAAAATTTGCGGTGATACCGGTCGTTTTTCAGCTGGCAAACGATGCGCTCCAAGTGATGCTCGGCAAGAAATCCAAGTCGGTGATGGATTGCCTGGAAGAACTGGATGAGGCGGGGGAGTATCTCGTCAAGGAAGGGAAGCTGGACGCCGCGAGGTTCGTGCTCGTCATCAAAAACATGCTAGATCACCAAGTAAGCTCTTGCGATCCCTCCAAAACTTTAGAAACAATGCTAGAACACAACGCATTGAATCTCTAGGTGATAGCGGAGAAGAATGATCTCGAAGGAGCCTACAAGCGAGCTTTCGAAAGAATTTGGAGCTGCGTCGAGGATTCGGGATGGTCGCTCGCGATGCCCGAGAACGAAACTGGAGTTGATCTGGTGAGAAATAGAAATTCTTTTTGAAAGCCATTGTTTTGATATCCTCTGTGTGTTCTTCAGCTAGACGATGAGCTGATTCCCCCGGTTCTTAACCAAAGATAAGGCACATTCCGTCTTCTTTAGCATCGAGGCATATTCTGTCGCGTGAAGTGTTGTTCTGGATATTCCGTCAGTGCGCTTTCTTGCTGTTTAAATAGCCTAGAACCCTAGCAAAAACCTCTAGCTTTTTTGGCGATGGGGTTCAAGGGGACGAAGCTCGAGAAGAAGGAGGCCTACGATCTCAAGCTTTGCAAGTACCTTGATGACTACGCCCGGGCGCTGATCTGCGCGGCGGACAATGTTGGATCCAACCAGATGCAGCAGATCCGCCAGGGCCTCCGCCCCGATTCCGTGGTGCTCATGGGGAAGAACACGCTGATGAAGCGCACGATCCGCAAGTACGCCGAGAAGACGGGCAACAGGGATGTTCTCAACCTCATTCCTCTCCTTGTGGTGAGAAATCTGCCTGTGCGCGTGATCTTTGTGATTTCCCGTGATTTCATCGCTCCTCGCCGCGTTTCCTGTCGAAATCTTGCGGCTCTCTTCGATCTTGGATGTGTTCTTGGCGATGTCGTGGTTTCTTGATGGGATTTTGGAGCTGCCTTGGATCTAGGTTCATTCGTTCATTGTAGGGAAACGTCGGGCTTGTCTTCACTAGAGGAGATCTTAAGGAGGTCCGTGAGGTGATCGCGAAGTACAAGGTAAGTTCTTTCACTTCCGATCGATCTTCTCAAGGATTCTTGAGCTTTGTCTTTCTTTTTCCTAAGGTTGGAGCGCCTGCTAGAGTTGGCCTCGTCGCTCCGATCGACGTGACGATTCAGCCAGGAAGCACTGGCCTCGATCCATCACACACATCCTTCTTCCAGGTAAAAACTCTAGAATTTATATTTTTTATCTCGTGATCAAGCATATGGTATATCAACTAAGTTGGCCGCTTGTTCTAGGCGCTGAATATCCCGACGAAGATCAACAAGGGGACCGTGGAGATCGTCTCCTCCGTGGAGCTCATCAGCAAAGGCACCAAAGTCGGCTCCTCGGAGGCAGCGCTCCTGGCAAAGCTGAGAATCCGGCCATTCTCCTACGGACTCGTCGTCCGCAGAGTCTACGACAGTGGCTCCGTGTTTGATCCCGCCGTGCTCGACCTCACCGACGACGACCTCGTCGCAAAGTTTGCCGAAGGAGTCTCGGCGGTGGCGGCCATCTCTCTCGCACTCGGCTACCCGACACTGGCGGCCGCCGCGCACTTCTTCCTCAACTCGTACAAGAACGTCCTGGCCATTGCGCTGAGCACCGACTACTCGTATCCGCAAGCCGAGAACGCCAAGGAGTACTTGAAGGTACCTCGTTTGGGATTTCTAGCTTCTGGATTTCTAGATAGTGTCTTGGTTGGCCTTCTTTTGTTTTTCGTCCTAGGTGGTGTTCTTGGTTTGACGTGTTTAGTGCCTCGTGCAGGATCCAAGCAAGTTTGCCGTGGCTGTAGCTCTGGTGCCGGAGGAATCGAGCACTGCTCCTGTGGTGGCTGCTACAGAGGAGAAGAAAGAAGAGGACGAGGAAGAAGAAGATGATGGAGGAGGATTCATGGATCTTTTTGGAGGCGAAGGCTAGAACAGTTTTGGAACACACCAAAGTTTTGTTTAGACGAAGTTTAGACGATCTTAAGTCTTTGAATTTTGGCGATAAAAATGGTGGCTTGATTAAAAGTTTCCGTTGCCGGGAATCGAACCCGACAACAAGGGATGTAAGATTTCCCCCATTTTTTAATCTAGGTATGGCAATGCTACTCGCGTGGACGTCCTCCGTTGGCGCTCTTCCCAAGATCGATGGCGGCCGATGCGCTTCTTGCGATTGTCGAGACGAAGGTAACTTATATGCTTCTCCTGTTTCTTTTATTTCGAGCTTGGCTGTTCTTGTTTTGTAGCAAGGAGTCCAGTGGTCACTAGGCGTTTTGCTCTTCTTTCCTCATCGTCGGCAGCCCTACTTAGCAGCAAGTTTGCTTTAGCAGTGTCGGTGGCTTGCTTTTAAATCCTCGCTTCGTTCTTTGATGGATTTTTTTTTTCTCTCCTTGCGCAGAAGCGAGGATGCAAAAGACAGTCGCATTCGTGAAGCTCTGCGGAAAGTTGTGAGCAAGCAAAAAGCTCCTGGTCTTTTGAGGCTCGTGTTTCATGATGCTGGGACTTTCAGCGCTTCCAAAGGTAGAACGAGTTTCTTCTTCATCGCAAATGTCTAGACATCTTCTTTTATATCATTTAGGTGGTGGGATGAATGGATCTATCATTTACGAGCTGGAAAGACCAGAGAACGCGGGTCTCGAACGATCCATCAAGGTAATTGTAATGCTCATGTCAAGTTAGGCTAAACAAATATGAGCACTCCTTTTCTTAGGTCCTCAACAAAGCTAGGGGGGAGTTAGAAGGTTCTCTTCATGGTACTGTTTATCATAGATTCTCGCCATGCTTTCGTGAATTAATTTTGCGTTATTTTGATGTTTTTTAAGTGTCTTGGGCGGATCTTATTGCTGTTGCTGGGTCAGAAGCCATCGTTATCTGTGGAGGACCCTTCATTCCCGTGAAGTTAGGAAGACTGGACTCAAGGTTGGTGTTGACTCTTTACTATGACCGGAAGACAGTGTATTGACCGTCTAGTTTATGTGTTGATCCAGTGTTGCTGACATACAAGGTGAGCTGCCTAGCGAGGATCTCAATGCTGTGGCCCTGAAGAAGATTTTTCAAAGCAAGGGTTTCTCGTGAGTATGTCTCGTCAAAGTTCGCTCGAACTTTTCATGCTTTTTTCTTATCACTTTCCTAATGGCTGCGACTTTGTCAAGCTTGTAGGACTCAAGAAATGGTAGCTCTTTCGGGCGCTCATACGCTTGGCAGCAAAGGTTTTGGCAATCCTACAGTGTTTGACAACAGCTATTACGACGTTCTCTTGAAGATGCCTTGGAGCGATCCTGGTAAGCTGACCAAGATCAAAGACTTTGACGGTGCATCCTTTCTTTCATTTTTTTCTTTGTTTTGTTTTGTTTTTCAGATAACAAAATGGCGTCAATGATCGGCTTGCCATCTGATAGAGTCCTTGTCAGTGACGAAGAGTGCCTCCCGTAAGTCGCTGAATTTCGTTTTAGATGATACTGTTTATTTCTTCGACTTTCAGCTGGATACAACTTTACAAGCGGGACCAGTCGAAGTTCTACGCCGATTTCACGTTGGCCTACACTAAGCTGGTAAATCTAGGCGCGGAATGGGAAGGATAAAAGTCCCTGGTAATACAATAGAGAATGGTTTTCTTACTTCTTTGTTTTTTGGCTGCTTCTTTGGCTCTCGTGTTCCCGGCGCAGCCACGTTGCATGTGGGGTGCTCAGAGGCCTCGCAAGAAAGCATATGGCGCTCTCAAATGCAACGAGGCAAAGATTGACGCAGACCATGAGTGGTACGACTTTTATAAACCTCGTGCTTCGATTTCTTATGATATTTTCCTTGTCTTTTTAACACAGACATGGGCCTGTAAAGGGCAAAGCTACAAAACTCCAGACAAATTTTTGGACAAAGCTTAATGCAGTTCTAATGCAGTCCTAATGCAGTCCCCCCGAAGGTAGCATGGATCTGGCAAATGGGAAAGAAAGTCGAGCAAGGTGGTTTGCCGACAGTGGTTTTCGAAGATTTTTGCAACTTGTGACAAACACGTTGTGCTGGCGTTTCTCATTTCTGCTGCTGCAACTTTGATTGGTACTGAGACCCGGGAGCTGCGGGGTGTGACACTGAAATGCGGTCCAAATTCTTATTTCCGATCACGATGGACCGAGAGCGTTATACACATGTAGCAAAACTTCTATATCGCAGTCGAGAAGGCGTCGTGGTTTGGAGGTCTCTATCCGTCCAACTCGATACCACCCCGAGAAGTCTGCGAACGACACACATACATGCACGAACCGGGTCAAGGCCGGCCTGGAGGAGGGCTGGAAGGAAAAGGAAATGTCGGACAATACTCGCGGCGAGCAGGCACACGTTGGAAATTGTAGCGGCACCGAATCTTTGTCACTTCAACAGGGAGACTAGAACAGTTCTCGGCCGTTTGGAAGGCTGCCGGGCGTGAAGAACATTGGCGTTATCAACGATGAGGACGTCTCCTTTTTGCCAGGGGAAGGCAACTTTCTCCTCGTCCAGGATCCGCAGGCAGGCATCCAGAGCATCCTGGGGGAAGGGAGAGCAATCTCCAAAGTAAGCATCAAAGGATCCCGGGGGTGCGGAGGCCTTGAAGACTTGGATGCCGGCGATGGTGTTGAACCAGACTTTCTCGCCAGTGTGTGGATTGATCTTCACGCCGGGGCAGGGATTGGAAATGAAACGAGCCTCGTCGTTGTCGAGCCACTCGATTCTGGAACCAACTTTCTCGGCCCTGGAAACAAAAAACGGAGCTGGTTAGAGGCAGCAAAAAGAAGTTTTGAGGCAAAGATGACCAAGCAGCTTTGGACGCGAAGCAAAGCAAAACCAAAGAGAGTGACAGAAAGGAAAACTCGGGTCCAAGCAATGATAGGAGGGAGGACAGCAAGTGGATACCTTTGCTCCGCCTCAAGCTTGTCATCCGTCTGGAACATAGACTTCCAGCTCCCATGCCCTCCCTGGGCCAGCTTCTTGGAGTATCTCACGCCTTTTTGCGACAGCTCCTCGAGGAAGTGCTCGTGTCCACTCTCCACAAGTTTCTCATACACCGTTCTTCCGTGAGCAACTAGCGTGCTTCCGCCAGCCTCTTGTGGAGCGGGGCTCTGGCAGAAGAAAACAATCCTCGATGGCGAGTTTGGAAGCTGGTGGCAGGCAGAAAGTCAGTATCATCGCGAAAAGGGAAGATGAGTGGAACATACATAAGCGACTTCGTTGTGGAAGCCGATGGGCTTGTGGAGCGGGATTCCATCGTTGGCGGTGAAGACTCTCCCCAGCACTCGCTGCCGGGTCGCCTCTCCCCCGACGCTGTAGGGGAACTCCTCGCCGTCGAGGCGCTGCACAAGCTCGTCAAAGTCGGCAGCGGAGTCGAGGTTGAACCCGCGGAGCAGGACCGCTCCGCTGCGGGCGAGCTCGTTTCGCAGCAGGGATTTGCCGCCGGGCTGCTCCAGCGCTAGCAGAAGGCTCCGCTTGTCGCTCGACTCGGAGGAACTCGGCTTGAGAACCGCTGGAAAAGGAGCTGAATTGCTCAGGAGCTTCTGCTCCGGGATGCTGCTGTTGGTGGCAAAGATCGTCGTCGCCACCGGCATTTGAACCATCTTCGCGGAACAGAAGAAAAAAAAGAGAAAAGAAGGAAACTCAAGCTCTGCAGCAAAGAAATTGGAGTAGCGAGGATCGGATCTCGTGAGATATGAGCGAAATAAAATCGTTCTCTTTCTCTCTTCCGGACCGACTTAAAGCTCTCTTCACAGCGAAACCAAATTGGACTGGGGATTGGACGAGAAAAGAATGAATTGCTCGCCTCTTTTCGGACTAGCTCGCTCGTCTGCTCGAGATAAAACCTTAAAAAACTTGATTTTGTGATAGAGGCGAGGGATGTGGTCGCGTATTTATACTCCCCATCTGTGGTGGACCTGCTCATCAAACTGGCGATAAGGTACAGTCGTTTCGTACACGCTCTTTGCTCTGTTTAAACGAGTTTGTGAGTAGAGGCGAGTTGGCGCTCGCGGTGGCTTATTTGGCGTGTACGGCCGCAGCCTAGCTGGTTCCAATTCCTCGGGTTGTCTGTGACTCGATATTTTCCGAGTGGAAAGCAGTAGAGCCGAAACCTCTCTCGAGGTAACATCTCATCTTCCATAATAGCTTAATTGATTTTTCCTGTAAGAATAATATCTTCTAATCTTTGCTTGCTGTAGATCCCACGTTTTCGAATTCGTTCCGTGCACGTGGGTGGAAAAATGGAAATACGGAGGAAAATTTCTCCATCCATTGGTCGAACTGGAAGTTTGACAATCGAGTTTCTACCGTGATCATAGGGAAAATTCGGTGTGGTTCTCTTTCGCTACTTGCGTGTTACGACCGCGATAAAGCAACAATAAAGCCGGTGATAATAAATCTTCACTAAACGAGAGATCTCTATTTTCTTGGATTGCTACTAGCTTTTCTCTGCGACATTTGTCCCAAGCCGTGATCATCCAGCTGAAAGAGAGAGATGGGGAAAAAAAAAAAAAAAAGAGAGAGAGCGAGAGAGAGAGAGAGAGAGAGAGAGAGAAAGGTGCCAAAGCTGAGATGTCATTGTTTCCATATGATTTAACCAGCTCTCGGACTTCCGAGGCAAAATCTTTTTTATGGCAACACTGTGCACTCTAGCTCTCCATTCCAAGGCCTTAGTCTCGTCTTCTTCCTTCTTTTCTTCTAGAAACTTAACCGGATTTAGGTCCAGAAGGAGGAGCTTTGGAGCAGTGCCCAATGCGAAGATTGGCGAGGAGGACAAGACGCTATCATCGAAACAAGGTAAGGTTTTTAACTTTCCCTTGAAGAACACTAGCTAGAGTTTGTGGCTCGTTCTTCTTCTTTAGAAGATGTTTCGAAGACAACCAAGCCGGAGAGTTCCATCGATTTGGGCGATCCGGACGTCGGATGGGTTCCTGTTTTGCCGCACGTACTCACGGCGGCCATGGCGAACTTCATGTTTGGTTACCACATTGGGTGAGCTCTTTCGCGTGTTCTTGAGCTCTAAGTTTTTGGTTTGCAGTGTTATCAAT